CCGCCTAGCGCGGCAGAGGTCAGGGGTCTCAGGTGCACCAATGGAGTACTCGAGTCGCGCAAGAAGTCACCATGATGCATTGGATTCTGCCCGAGCAGATCCACCACCGTCCCCTGCCATCTCACTCGATCTCTGCGTTGAGCAATGGCTCCCAAAGCAGGGAAAGGGTGACAACCCTCGTGCTCAGAAACTTTCGTCTGCAAGAGCCTGTGACCAGGCCTGTCCATGCAGGCCGATCACACAATGCCACTCCACAGGCACATGGATAGCTGGTGAAATTGAATTCGAGGCCCAGGTGGCTAGTTGCCACAGTTCCCTCTTCTCACCGTGTTTCACCAATGATGTATGGAGATGAAACTCTGCAGTTCTTCCTTTTTTGGTTGTTTGCTATTGTGGTGCTTTTTGGGGTTTGGCTGGTTTTTGCTTTTGTGTTTCGTGTTTCTGAGTTTGCAGTTTCAACCTTTAGCAAAGATGACCTGTGCACACCGCACACATGGCGTCTCCACCCGTGCAAAAAAGATTCTTTTCCAGCAGTGGAGCAATTTGTGCAAAGTCAACTTGAGACAGTGCCAAACAGCTTTCAAAGACACATGGAGAAACTTGGGCTCCTGGAGCGAGTTCTTTAGTCTCTCGTTCATTGACCCCTGTCCTTGCAACTGTCGATCGCAAGACCGCCTGACATGTCCTCTAGATGCACTGTGGATCAACCCACTTTCGGTTTCACTTCATCCAGTAAACGCCACACTTTGGCAATTGCCCGGCTGATCTCTTCTTGCTGGAAATCTTGACCTCGCTTCAATTTAGGGTTTTGGTTGGGCGAGTTCACCATTTCCCCTGATAGCTTTTGTAGGGGATCAGTGTCCGTCAGGGGAAACCTGAACGACGATTTGCAGATTGTAATTTCCAGCAAGAGAAAGAGATACATGTGAAGAGTGCTGAAAGATTACACTACTCTTTGAATTGTTATAGATAGACTTATCTATACCTTATTTGGCAAATGAAGTCCAACGTATAACGTTTAGTGTACTTGTTCACGAGTGTTCTACGGTGGATCTTATTTGTTCACAACATTTTGGCTCACGTTGGACTTCATTTGCGAACGCATTTCTTTTTTCTACCCTCCCACCCTCACCTGGTTTGCTCTACTTGATTAACTGTTCTATTCCCGGCGCTCTCGATGTCGCTGTTTTCACCAGTTCTTGCATTCCTCAGTGAGGACTCGCGCGCTCCAGAATGTTTCAAAGCGACGTCCCCCCCAACAGGGGGGATCAGTGTCCATCAGGGGAAACCTGAACGACCGTTCGCAGATTGTAATTCCCAGCAAGAGAGAGATATATATGAAGAGTGCTGAAAGATTATACTACTCTTTGAATTGTTATAGATAGACTTATCTATAGATTATTTTGCAAATGAAGTCCAACGTATAACGGTAGGGAAAGTGTTCCGTATTCAGAGTTCAAACCAAACTTTGTCAAAGAGATTGCGCAGCCGATTTTGCGCCGTTCAACAATGTTGATTACCATGCAACTGAAAGGTACAGATTGAAATTTGCCAGATCTCTTGTACGCACGCGTTCGAGTGACCAATTCATGTCAAGGTGATTCTTGATGATCTTCGCAGATCTCGCGACGAGAGTGAAAAATTTGAATGCGTTGAGAATGCGTTTGCGTGAGCTGAGAGCTAGAATTCGTAAACCTTGAAGCTTTGGTTCATTTGTTGAGTCTCAGGAGTCGTTGAAATTAGAAGGGTTCAGGACAACGAGGATGATCTTTTCTCGGTCTGAGTGACCACCTTGCTCCAGGAGAATTTACAGAGACATCTGAACAGTGAGACTGTTTTCATCAAAGTTCACAGGAGAGAGAGCGAGTCAAGATGATCGGTTCTTTTTTCTTTCTTTTGTTTTCCTTTCGGAGAAGCGTCGCCGAACTTTTCCGCAGCCATTTGTGTGTGTGGGCGCGCGCGCGACAGCCATGTTGCTTTCGTTGAGCAGCTGTGTTGCTGCGCTGGCGCTGTATGGGCTGATGGCGCTGCTTTTCGTTTTGTGGAAGATAGCGATGTTTTGCTGTCGTGGAAAGGAGAAGATGAAAGCAAACCCGAATTGCGCACCTTCGTGTTTGACCGCTGCTTGGTTGGGGGATGAGACAGTACCAAAAGTTGAGAGTGTCTCAGCTGCTGCTGACGCTGCTGCTTCTGCGCCTGGCGCTTCCAAAGCTGCAGCTGAAGTGAATGTGAGCGAAGTGTTTATGACCGCTTGTCGGACGAGGTTCCATACGAAGAGGACCTGTCACTACCTCAAGAAAAGAGCAAAGTTGTCACTTTCCAACAGTGCTTGAAATGTGTCTCAACTCAAAATGGTTGATGGCATGTAGACTTCGAAAAAGGGTGTGGAAAGTAGCTAACTGGAATAGCGAAGCCTCCATAGCATGCTTTCAGAATGTGCGTGAGCTTTGTGTAGTCGGTTTGAAACAATTGCAACTTCCTTTGAGGTCTTTCAGACCTAGGTGTTTGTAGACAAGCCGGGTGGAATAGCGTTCTCGTGTTGTTGAACAATCTGGAGAACACGTTTGATGCTTTAACATGTTTACAAAACAGATTGGAACCTTTGGGAGACATGTCCCGAGGTTTTGTACAAGTTTGCTACGATGGTAGCATATTTGGCTCAAGCGTGCGGCAGAAAAACGCGTTGCGAGTGTCTTTTCTTTTGTCTCGGTTCCGTCGTCGTGCGTACACTTGACTTGCAAGAAAGTTTTTCACGTTGAGAGCTTGCGAGGAAGGTTTTATTTTTCGTGAGTTTGTGTGTCAAACTTTCACGAGAACGTTTTTTCTGCCTTCAAGAAATGCGCGTGCGTGGCGCCAGACTCTCAGACTTCCCGACCCAACCTTGCGAAAAATCTGTTGCTGGACATCTGTTTTCAGAGTGTTTCAACAATGCAAGCAAGACGCACTTGTCAATCACAAATCAAAACCTCTACAACCAACGTTCGACTGCACTTCCACACCCATTTCCGGGTTTTTGACTGCGGAAGCTGGAACGTGTCAGAGTCCAGTCGATTTGCCAAGATTTCCTCGTTCATCGATCCTGCAGTGCGCGTTCCATGAGATTTCTGCCCAAGCGAGAACTGACTTGTTAAAATCTACGTCTGCAAGCCAAACGTGGAAGATGTCCCTGGACGCAAACGGACTTGCCTTCCGGCAGTCGGTGCCGATGAGAAAAGCAGCGACTGTGTGAGAGATCAAGTGACGTGTCCATTTTGGAGCGCATTTCCAGTGTTGGAACCGACACGAGCAAATCCAGTTTGTTCTCTTGGATGCTGGTTTTTCTTGCCTTGACATGTCTTTTTGCCTTGTTCGGCGTCTTGGGGTTGGTCCCGTTCGAGTGACGGAGCGAGACTTGCGCCAAGGGGAAGTAAGAGCCGCCTCCACACCGTCTAGACCCACGCTGCTCTTTGCAGGTAGAAACTTTGAAAATTTTGCAAATGTGACCAGCATACAAGGAACCCTCAACGACAACAGCTTTAAAATTTTCATGGCTGACGGCCAGCGACCAAAAACCGCCGGAGGCCATGCAGAATGCCTTTGACGAATGCAATGGAAGTGAAAAAATCATATGTCGTCCCTCCTTTTCTTTTTGTCGTGGATTCCAATTCAGTGTTGGCCCGGTGTCGCGCACGATTTTTGCATACCTATCAACAACTGTGTCAATGTTAGCGCCCCACATCAGCCACCTTAGCTGATGGTGTTTTCGTTACAAAACGCATCATGCAGTTGTGGTAGTGGCAATGCGAAGGTTGTTAAATTTTGCACGTTTTTGCCGGTCACTTCACTCCAATGAGACGATTATTGGCCATGAATCTGGAATGGGTCGTTTGTATTACTGTAAAATTTAAAACGAATTGTGGTGATGCTTTTGTTGGCCAAAAGAGGCATCGAATCAATGCTTTTGCCGTTGATTGAGTTTGCAGTTTTTTGGGACGAAAAAACAAACACACAAACATCAAAGATTCAGGTGGTTTCCGCCATTGGTCAAGATTGTTCTTGGCAGATTCTTTATTGAATAACAGTTTGAAATATCAAATTTAGACACCACGTTGTATTTGTGCACTTTTATGTTTTTCAGGTCCTTCCAGATTTGCGTGGTTCGTCAAGACACTTATTTTGGTCCAGTTTTTGTGTCATCGTGGGTCTTATTTTTCCAATCACTTTTGGTGCTTGATTACTTCGGAGAATGACTTGGGTGTGAAAACTTCAAAGGATGCTTGGTCTTCAATTTGGCTTGAGACCAGGCTTCAATCTAGGAGTGCTTGGCTTTTGCACAGCGTTCCTTTCAATCCCTGATGTCAGAGGCACCATGCTTGTTGGCAGTGCTTGTGCATGTGGAACCGTGTTTGTGTTGGTCATTCGTTTGCAGGCATATTGCAACAGGTCACGGAATGCTGTTTTGGTGAAGGACAGCTCCCGATTGAGTGCCATCAAGTATTGTGTTTGTGCACGAATGAACAGAAACGAGCTGTGTTTGATCAGCATTTGCTTTGTCGAGGATGACATCGGGAAGGCTACACATGTTGCATGTTTGCAGTCGTTTGTGTGGTTCAACACTCTATCACAGACACATCAATTGGCCGGTGCCAGGCTAAACCCAGCATCTATGACTTGCCCCCAGAGGCCGATAGCTTGTGCAACGACTAGGAACGCTCTTGGAACTTGGAACTTATTAAGAATCGTTTCACTGAGAATCGTTTTACCTGTAGTAACAAGAAACTACTAGTAGGTTTTTGAAGCTACTAGTAACAAGAAGCTACTAGTGGTTGAAAGAGAAGGACTCTTCGCAGCAGAAAACATTTTATTTTTGGCTCGCGGCTCGATCTTAGTATATAATCAGATGCACAGCAAGGTTGTAGCATACAGGCGTCATACCAAAGTGCAACGGCACTGTGACAAATTTGTGAAGTGTATATATATATATATAGAATAATTCGATGCAAACTTGTAATCTCGTTCTACGCACCAAGTGGAAAATACAATACAGCGCAATTTTTTCCCATCGGGTCATGGATTCGTTGCTGTGGGCCCAGTGTTTGTGTTCTTTGTATAGGGTGACGTTTGTCCGCGATTCCTGCAGACTTGAGGTCATGGCTCATTTTGGATCACTTCCGAGACTATGACAAGTGGCTCACTTCAATCAATCAATTAATCAATCTATCTCTCTCCCTCTCTTGCTAGAGGGGCTCAGAGCAAATAACAACCCCCGGACATTCCAAACTTGACTGTGCAAAGCAAGCTGCTAAAACTTGACTTGTTTTGACAGGTGGCCTTGGCAACGTGTAAATCCATTGGAGCAGCAACTTGAGGATCATCCATCCTTCGTGTTTGCTGAGGACGGGCTTGTGGTAATCCATTTTGAACAGCACAAGTATTCCAGCTGTGTGACAGGTTCTCTTCATTCTCCTTGCGGGCTTTGCTTTTCTGCATGCCACCTGCGAGACTGATGCTAAAGAAGAACGCCGTCTGAAGCTGCAACTCGTTCAACAAGTGGTTCTCAGTTCTCAGCCTTTCCAGCCGTGTGTTCAGGCTAGAGCGAAGCCGTACGCATGAAACATATCCTCTGGCTTTTGAGGATATGGTTGGCTACTTTCATTGTCGGCACTGTCAATGACTATATTTTCATGCTGCTCCCGGTAGTCGACAACTTTTGGCAGGCACAGAACCTCCTCCCGTTGGCCGTTGTGCTATTTTGTTCTGCCAGAATGTAACAGTACAGTTGTGTTCTGTTTTGTGTCGACAGACTTTGGTGAAGGCTCAGGGCTTGGTCATGCTCACACCGCGGATGCCTCTATACATTCCCTGCGTGTACAACGGCTTCATGTATTGGTCCACAGCTTGCAACCCAGTGCTTGTTATGTACATGAGTGAGCATTTTGGCGGAAAAAGAACTTCGGAGCATGTCTCGTTTCCGATTTGTCTAATAAGACTCAGAGTCTATGTTCATTGGAGGTAGCAGCAGCTCGAGTCTTTCAGCATTGGCGTCCATGCGCTATAGCAGAAGCAAGCCTAGCAGGCTACACTTGCAGATTCGTCCAGTCTAAATTACAGGCTTCTTATTTAGGGATGACCATGCTTGCCTTTCTTTGTCTTGCAGGTTTGCTGGCAATGATATTCTATGCCCCGTACGACATGTGTGGTGCGAAGTTTCTTTGGTGCTTCGGCCTTAATTTGAATAGGCTTATGGTGGTAACTTTCAAAGAGGTTTAGTTCGCTTTGTTCTGCGACAGGTGGACTTGGCATGACACAGATCCTGGAGTTGCATTACGCTGGTTGGGCGTTCCAGGTGGAAGTACAGCCGCAGTCGCAGATACTCTGTAGTTGCACATCTATCAAGGCAGACAGCCTCCTCTAGTCTTGTTTGGGCTAACTTGTCTTGCTTTCGTAGTTGATGATTTGAGAATCAAGATGAATCAAGGCGTGGACAATCACTTTCACATTTTGCTTCTCACTCTTACTGCACGGTGCTGAGAGCAACGTTTCTTCGATATGCCAAGTGACTTGCAGTCAAAACAGAATGACATGATATGTGCTGTTTTGGCTACTTCAGTCTTTTGACCTTTCTATGGAATCAGGCGGCTTGGATCCGACCTTGGCTGGAGTCAGATCAAGACCCTTGCATTGGCCTGCTGGTAGTTTGTCTGCAGTCCTTCCTCCAAATCCCTCAAAATTACTTGGATGACCCTTCTTTGCTCTGCTCGACACCTCAGGTCCACACCTCTCATGCTTGTGGTGCTGAACATTTTCACCATTATTGGCTTTGACAGGCGTCGGAATGATTTGCTTGTGGACTGCATGATTGCACAAACTGAATAGTACTTTCACTTTGACTTGACGTGCTCTGGGCACAGAAACCGTGGTTCGAGAGTGTGCTTCGCCCACTGAATCCCACGTTTGATGGTGCAGGGTCGGCATGCCTGGTCCACAGACAGTTTTGGCAGCTGCTCTTTGTTTTGCAATGGCCTGTGTTTGCCAACCAATCCCAAAGGCCGGAATTGTTCTATTTTCACTTCACTCGCCACAAACCCAAGACCTTTTTTGCCAGGTTTGGCCTCAAAAGAAGGTACATCCTCTTAAGCGTCCAGAGTGTCTTTGACCTGCACCCAAGTTGCTCCTAGATTGATTCAAGGAATGTTTCTTCTCATGTTTCTCCATGTCTCCCTATTTTTGTGAAACCACGTCCAAGGCACTGGTCAGTCCGTGCTACCCTGTGCATGTATTTTGCCACCTTGGTGCTGATTGGTTTGCTCTTTTCACCTGAGAAGCAGGACGGAAGCGACTATGCTACACTGGTGTTTTTTGAGGGTTATTTGGCTCTTTAAGTGTTTGGAATCACGAGTCTTGCATTACGCAGGTTTCTACGGGGGTTCACCAACAGTTTGGTGATTGCCACGCCACGGACATTGATTTGATGGGCTATGAACGCAAGTCTGATTCTGAGTGGTCTTGTGTCTGGCTGGTCTCACACAAGCCTTGCAAGGCGATATATATGCCGGGAGCGCTTCCCGACAGACTACTTCCAGTTTAACTGCCCTGAGGTTGGGAGTCCATGGCTATTTTTGTTTCCCCCAGAAGATGTGTTTCAGCAGGCCGCAAGGTCAAGCATAACACCGGAGGCAAGCATGACAGGCTGGAATGATAGTTTTTTGGCATTCGATCTGTAGCCTTCATAAATATTGGTATTTGCATTTGAGAAAGTCCCTGTCAGATAGTGTGGCTTCATGGTACACTGTGTGTGGACGACCGCACAGAAACTACAAAAGCTGGCTTTCCGGCTTGCTGGCCTTGTGTGGACTAGGCCTCATTCTTTCAGTTTGCTCAGGTTTTGAGGATAGATTGATGAGCCTTGCACAGGTTCTTTGCTGTTCTACTTCTCCTTCTCCCTATGCCAGGCTTGGACCTGTATGACTGGGCAAAGGGAATCAGTTTGCTTGGTGAACAGGAGTCTGTGCCGAAGCCTCCACCAGCAAAGATGGAAAGCTCAAAGGTTGAGTCGGTTGAGGCTCAATTCTGATTGACCATAAATGCAAGCCTGCAAAGCAGCTTTCAATTGTTCGGCTGTTGGAGTTCGCTGGAGTTGTTTGATCTGTAGAAGTCGCAGGTGTCAGATGCAAAGCTTCGCAAGAGACGAACCCGAGAGTCTACACCAGGCCACGAACGGCTTTGAGAAGAGCTTCATGTTCTTTTGGCATGCAGGCTAGAGGAACAAGAAGCTACTAGGGGCTCCTGGCCTTACTACTAGGAACAAGAAGCTACTAGGAGCTTTGTGCAACACACCTTCTACCTTTCACAAACAAGGGCATCGCTACCGTGCTTACCCAATACGGTGCATTGTGCAGCCCTGTGACGAAGCACTCACAGAATGTGCGTTTGGTACAAGACTGGGAGCCTTTTGATGGAGCACATGGAGTCACACCACCATGCGCATTCTCTTTTTTGGAGGGGCTAGACAGAACTTGCCTGCTGAATGCACACTCTGCCCACCATGCTTGCCATACTCGCTGCCTTGCTCACAGTTTAGCTCACTGATTGCCTCGCTTCCCACTTGCCAAGCTCATCGATTCAGCGGCTGACCACTTTGCTGGCTCAGAGCTTTATCAAAGGTTCACTGCATCAAATGAGAACACAAAGCTGCAACAAAGCTTTTGCTTTGGGCATTTCTGCTCTGGTAATAAAAAACGAGACATCGCTTCCTTCTTCTTGTTCTTTTGTTCCATGAAACTCTTGAGATTGCTGCCTGTGTGGAGAAGAGGGAATGTGGTTGGAACAGTTGACACACAGTTGCGGCCCTTATTGGTCTCAAGTAAAATGACGAATTAGTTGTGGCAGGCAAATGAGGGCTTCAAGACGAGCCAACATGCGGCCAAAAATCTTGCGCTGGATTGGCAAGTCATTCTTTTTCTGTTTGAGCTCAGCAAAGTGACCTGCAGTGAGCATTGTCCTAGCAGTCGTTGTTGGGATCCTGAGCGTCCAGGGCTTCACCTACGGCCGCAGTGAGCCAGCCGATGCAGAGGGTGCCAGGGAGGCAGGAGTGCAGGGAGTGCAGTTGTCACCCGCTTGTTTACAAGATTGAGTTGTATATGTTTGTTTCATTGGTTGTACTCGGGTTGCTTCGCGACAACAACTGCCCGCACCAGTGGCTCTCAGACATTGTATATTGGACGCCCCGAACATGTAAAATGTCAAGAGGGTCGAAAAGTATATCCTACAAAGGCATATGATGTGGACCCACTGAAAAATGTACATGTTTGAGGGGGTCGAACAATCGAATGATTATGTGACAATAGACTGTACAATTGCATCCAACCGATGCGTATCATACCATAATACTGTACAATTGCAATACAATGGCAACCGGCTGTTCACATGATGCAATGATGAAACACATCTTAAGGCATAGACTGTTCAGAGGAGTCGTTTGTTTGCCTTTCACGGACATGGTGATGCAAATGCTTATATACTCAGACATAGATGATATGTGAAAACCAATGTTTTCTCCCACCCCCGCTCCTCCCCAAATGCTTCCCGCTAGCTAAAGCTATATGATGAGCGATGAATGCGACCCCAGAGAATAACGCCTCTCAGAACCTTCAGCGCGGGCGGGTTTCTTTTCGTGGACAGTTTTATTTGTTGCTTGATCTTCAAACCAAGTACTTTTGTAAACTCATTTATAGTGTAGCTACTAGTAGCAAATGCATCCCTACTAGGAACAAGGGCATTACTGCTAGTAGCAAGAAGCTACTAGTACCTTCTGGCTACTAGTAGCGATGCACCTGTTCCTAATAGCGATGCACTTGTTACTACTAACTCGTATATATCCATTTTTCCGAGTTTGCCGCCATCATTTGTATTGTATCAAGACCAGTTCCTTGTGGCTGAAGTGCCCATGACTGATGACTGTATTCTGCTTTGGGAATTGATACTGTAGCTAGGAATTCATCAAGAACTATCATTGCAAGACATGATGTTTTATTGATGTTTGCCGCGCTGTATCCACAAGACATTGGTAGATCCTCGCTGACACCTTCAAGTGTTTGACACACCTCTTTACTTTCTGTGCTTTTTGTTCCCTTTGTGATGCATTCTCTCCGTGACCTTTTGAAGAAGGGACATTAGGAATGTAATGAACGATCCAGATAGACTTAGCTTGAAAATGAGTCCATTGCAATAGCTGTTAGGATGTAAAACTTGGAAGAGGCATAAGTTTTCCTGTTTGTGCTGAACGCATTATAAGAGCATTGATAAAGTTCTGAAACAGGACAACTGCTCACCTGCTGGGCTCTTCAAACGGTTCTGAAAACCACTCCAAGTGTTAAGAATAAGAGCCATATCGTCGCTCTTGTAGTTCCGATGTGAAAGGCGGACTTGAGACACCAAGACCTTTGAGCAAATACGGTCACTGTGGCCAGGTGACCATGTTCTGGGCATCACATGTGCCACGGCCAAAACCTGGACCAGATTGTCAGGACACCATCGAAGTCTGCGATATCACATCTATAGCACTTATATCGCTAGTGTTGCGGTCTTTGGCAAGAAGCGGGATGAGCAGGACTTCAGGAAGCTCAATCGTACGGCAGCGAAGTGCGGTGTCAGGACAACATGCTGCTCAAACACTCGCATTTGTTTAGAATCGATTTATTTGCCTTCAACATATTTAAACAGTCACATTTTTTAGTTGAGTTGAGCCCCTGGGTCTCACAGGAATGCGCGGGATTTGGCAGAGTTCCGGAGACACACAGACATCAAGCTGGTGCCTCCTGGCCCTGTTGGCGTGCTGCCGAAAGTCATTCCTTCAGATGTGATCCCCTCGTCTGGGCCTGAGAGATGAAACAAGGACCTTTTTTTCAAAGCCGCTCCTACTACTTAATTAAATAAGCGCGGCTAGTTCGCTACTACATATGGACGCAGGATAGCTCACGCTTCATCAAGGGGGGGAGCTTCCTTGAAGAAGCCCTCACACTATTCATTCGGTTCCTAGATTTTTAGGGAAACTAAACATCAGTGTTGCATGCAAAACAGTCTTTTTCCTCTTGTTTTCTTTCTTTGACGGGTGTTTGGGTGTCTTCGTTTGTGGCTTGGCAGTTGTACCTCAACTATTGCAGCCAAAAGCGAACAAATGATGAAGCCCACAGCAAAAGCAACGAATCAAATGATCCCATCCCAGAGGATTGACAGTAACACACGTGAGCATGCCCGTTTTGATGCAGATAGAAATGCCTGTGGCACGAAAGAGTTTCAGACTCTCCCGCTTTTCTGGTTGGATATTCTTTCATTTCAAGTATCTTAGATTTAGCCAGCTTTTGTACTCACTTGCCTCATGTTAACTATAAAAGTTCTTCATATAACTTTCTCACCTTATGTCAGGTTTGCGTACGGCAGCAAGTCTCGACCTTCCACTCCAATTACGCACGTCGTCCCTCGGCACCTCTGTGGGATTGTCTTTTGGAAGAATGTGTCAACGCACAAAGGATTGTTCCTAGTAGGTTCTTATTACTAGTAGCGATGGCGTCCAACCTAGTAGCGAGCCTCCAACCTAGTAGCGTCCTTGCTAGTAGTAATTCCTGTAGCGTCTACATGATTGCTTCCAAGATCGGAAACCAGTATGCCACGGAGTCAGAGGAGGCGGAGTCGATGAATTGAGCTGTGCAAGTTTGGCAGGGAGCTTGCACTAGTGGCTAGTGCAGCTAGTGGCTGGATAAGTTCTTTAGCGTAGAATTCATTATATATATACTGTAAATGTGTAACATTTTCCGAGTGCAGAATGCCAAATGGAGAAACCTCTGTGAAGTTTCGCTCCAGGCCTTGGCACTGCACTACCGTGTCCTGGAGGTCTGGGAGGGTTGTGAAAGTGGTAGACTAGGAATACTGGCGACTTTAGCCTTTAGCCTTTGAATAATTTGGCAGGAATACCAAGAAAAGCATGAAAAGCGCATCGTCAAGCTTACCAAGGCCATGGTTTAGAGGGATGGGGAAGATTCTATGGTTCTGTTGTGCTGTTCAGATAAGCTGAGGCTTCCAAGGATCGAATCCATGATGCCCGCATCAGAATGAAAGAGTGGAGGAACCCACAGGACTTCCGCGCAGTGCTTTTGAATAGGCTACTAGGAGAAAAGGGCATCGCTACTAGGAGCAAGGACGCTACTAGTAGCTCCTGGCATTACTATTAAGCAGTAACAATAAGCTACTAGTAACCAGGGCATCGCTTCTGATTATATACTGTAAACTCAACAGCCGAGAAAGAAAAGCACTTTGCTCACATCATTCAGTTTCCCAAAAGATCTAGGAACCAAATCATGAGTGCGAGCGCTTCTTCAAGCAAGCTCCCCCCGGGGAGCTCCTTGAAGAAGCGTGATCTATCCTGCGTCCATATGTAGTAGCTTAAGTAGCTAGGCTCAATTAGGTAGGCACCTGCTTAATTAAGTAGGAGCGAGCAAAAAAAGTGAAAAGCACAAAAAGGAAAAAGAGCAGCGCTGTGCTTCGTCTCATGTGAGCTGAGCTCAGGAGCCAAAAGAGCCCTTCAAGCTCACCAAGCCCGCGTCCCTAGTGGACCGTTGGGCCTGGAAGAAAATACGAACAGCCGAATAGAAGTGCTTGCACGCTCGGCCAGGTTCAAGAAGGTGACTTCTAAACTGAAGCTGCCCGGCTTGCGTGAGTTGGACACTGAGACATGTTTTGCCGGCCAAACAAAGGGTTTCTATGGGTTCTCACGGCTTCTTGCACCAACAAACACTACTGCGAGGTCAGCATCAGCTCCGTGCCTCCAGCGACTTCCTGATGAGAAGGTTGGAATTGGAATACTCTTGAGCCTGAAGTCCACCGAAGTTGCAAGAAACATAACGACTAGGGATCGTTGGGCTCTGGCAGGCTCCACCTCCAGCCGCGCCTGAAGTCCAGGTCTGAAAGTTTGAGCACATCAAAAAGCTGCAACAGCTGCTCAAAACTATTTTTTGGGGCATTGAAATGGCAGGAAGCTACAGAAGTGGCAGAAGAGCAAGTCTGAGCCATGGGCCATGAACCAGAATTGAGGACACTGCAGAAGTTGTCCTAATTTGCTGGAAACTTTGTACAGCCCTTGAAGTTCAACAACATCAAGAGGCTCTTGCTACATCTCACTGTCTCATCCATGTCTCACCACCGTATCACTGAAGGCACACGCTGAGCAAGCAAAAAGATGCTCCAAAACCGTGGACAATTGATCAGGCGTCGCCAAACACCTCGCCGCACTTTGGATTACGAACAACGACGATTCTCCAGAGCGTAGAACTCCATCTCCTGCCAACATACGGAGACAAAGCCTGCACTGGAAGGCACTTCTCTCTTGTCCTGAACGGATTCAACCGAATACGTCTTCAGAATAGCGCGGAAACGACGTCTATGCAGACTCCTTGTGACCCGCTGGAGTGGACCCCCCCTTCACTCGCTAGATCCTTGTTCACGAGGGTTGTCATGCTGTGCAACCACTTGGCAGTCACAGTCCTGTCAGAGCTCTCGCACCTCTAACTAAACGCTTGACTCACAACCGCAACACACAAGAACAAAGCTTCTCAGCGCGCCGTGGAGCTGCGACATGTTCTCAAGATGCACTGTCGGAAACATTTCCAAACGCATTTGGAGGTTGTGCCATTGTGTCACTTATGCAGGCTTCTTGTGTTTCGGACACTTGGAAACGCTACAACAACTCCACCCTCCGCCTGTGCAAGTTCCTGACGCAGACCTTCAAGCCTTTCTCCACGCTTCGCGGCCATGCAAATTTGTGTTTGCTGTTCCTTTTTGCTCATCTTGGAGATTCTGATGAGAGTGTTTTGATGCCGTTTGCTTGCACCTGCTTTTTTTTTCTGCTGCTGTTCCCACCTTTGATTGATGTACCTGGATGAGCTTTTGTGAAAGTCTCTCACCGGACGTGACACATCTGGCAACGTTCGTTGTGCCTTTAACCTGTAGTGGATGAGGCATGCTCCCGATCCCGACCTTGCAGGGAACAAGATTTGTCATCGGGTACTTCAAACCAGCAATGGCGTCGAGTAGG